TGAAACCAAATGGAAGTGCTCGAAGTAAGAACTCTAGTGGCTGAAATTAAGAACTGAATGGACAGGTTTCACAGCAGATTGGACCCAGCTGAAGAGAGAATTCGTTTAGTGAAAGAACAAAAGAAAACATCCAGACTGAAGCACAGAGGAAGGGTGGAAATCACAGAAAAGAATGTAAGAGACAAGGGGATATGTTGGAGTCTAATGTATGCAGAAATAGAGTCTGAGAAGCACAGGAGAGAGACTGGAGCAGAAGCAATACTTAGAGAGATACTAACTGAAAATTTTCTAAGACTAATGACAGATCAAACCACAGATTCAAAAAGATCTACAAACACCATGTAGGGTAAGTCCAGAGAAAACCACTCGGAGGCACGTCATAGTAAGTCTACTCAAAACTAAACACACAGAGGTCTTAAAAGTGAGCAGAGAAAGAAGACAAATTACCTTTAAAGGAACAACAAGGCTCCCAGAAGCCAGAAGACAATAGAGTCTTTGCAGAACACTGAAAGAAAGTAACAGCCAAGCTAGAATTCTCTACACAGCAAAATATCCACTAAGAATAAGGGTGAAGTAAGGGCATTCTCGGGAAATCAAAATAAAATGAGAGTACACAAACTGGGGGGAGGTAATTAAAGCATTTTAAGGTTCTTTTATTGTCCAGTAAAAGGGAAAGGTATTGATTTATATGAGACTTTGATAAGTCAAGGATGCCTGGTGCCATCTTTATTGCGGCCACTACAAGACTAGGAGGCAGTATAATGAGTCAGCTATCAGGGGGTGAATTTCAAAGTACAGATCAGTGTGAAAGAAGGCATAAGAGGGAACAGAACATGGAACAGGCAAGAAAAAGAAATAGAGATCAGCTAGTGAAATGGTAGATTCCAAGCCAAATACATCAGATATCACACCAAATGTAAAAGGACTACATAGTGTAAAACTAAATAGGCTCACAGAAGAAAAATCAAACCAAGAAAGTAAAGTGTGGAAAGAATGCCTCCACGCCCCCATCAACATCAGCTTCCTTATCCCATCACTGGAGGCCACTGTTGTGGACAGTTTCTTGTGTACCTTCTCAGACCTTTTATGCATTCAAATCGTATTTACATTTTCCTTAAAACACATGCACAAATGGGTTCATGTTATATATACTGTTCGGCAACCTTTTTTTACCCATACACACGTTTATATGTATGCATGTATGTATGTGTGTAGGCATGTGTATGCGTGTATATACCCACATAGGCACGTGTCTGTGCGTACATGCATATATCTGAACTTTAAGTTTCACAAAACAATATTTATTCTCGGGGCTCCTGGCTGGCTCAGTTCGTGGAGTGTGCAACTCTCAATCTCGGGGTTGTGAGTTCGCGCCTCATGTTGGGTATAGAGATTACATAAGAAAAATAAAATCTTAAAAACAATATTTATTCTTAATACATATAAGGTCTTCTGATATATCTTCTGATATTCTATTTCATTTTAAAAGGCTAACTGAGACTAAGTTAGAAAAAGACAAATACGACACGATCCCACTTATATGTGGAATCTAAAAGAGTGGAACTCATAGAAACAGAGTAGAACGGTGGTCACCAGGGGCTCGGGGTGCGAAAATGGGGAGAGGTTGGTCAAAGGGACAAACTTTCAGTTGTATGAAGAGTAAGTTCAGGGATCTAATGAGCAGCATGGTGATTGTGGTTAATGGTACTGTATTGTACACTTGTAATTTGCCAAGAGAATAACAGATCTTCAGTGGTCTCACCACACACACGCATGCACAAACACACAGATGACTATGTGAAGTGATGCTGTGTTAAGCAGCTTGATCATGGTGCTCAGTTCACAATATATATGTATATTGAACCATCATGCCGTCCACCTTAAGAATACATCATTTTCCCCTGTCAACTATACCTCAGTAAAGCTGAAGAGAAAAAACCCAGAGCTCTGAGCTAGCTTCACCTGCCGAACAAAAAGCACCCCAAATCCCCCTCAGATGGCCCTTCTGATGTCTGGCCTGTTTCCTCCAGTGGCAAGGGTGAGTCTGCCTCTCTCCCATCCCTCAATCCTGCCCCCTGGGCCACACGCTCTCATAAAATAGCACCCAGGCCTGAGCCTCAAGGCCTGCTTTCTGGGGACCCAGAACAAGACAAGCCTCCTTGGCACAAAATTCACCCAAACGCTCGCCCGGATCCCAGCTGCTGCCCCCATGAGGACCTCCGTCATCCAGCCCCTTCCACTTCTGGCTCTGGGCTGCATCGGTCCCAGGATGCGCCCCTCAGCCTCTTCATCCGGCCACCTCCGACTTCCTCCAGTCGCAAAGACCAGAGCGAAGATGTCTTTTTTTGGAAGCACTTTCTCTGAGGTCTCTTGCAGAACAGCATTGCTCCCGGCTATCACAGAGGCGCCTGAGCTAGAGAGAAAGCCTTTCTCTTCCCAGACTTCATAACCTCTCATTCTCTTGGGGCAGTTCCTTAGCAGTGTTTTCTGGTAAAAGCAGACGCACTCCATGCCACCCCCTTCCCCAGCACCCTGGGCTCCCGTGGCAGCCTGCTCCTTTCGCATCACATGAGAATGACCTCCCATCCCTCCCCCTGCACCCTGCGGGGTCAAGGGACTCGAGAGCATCCCCAGGGACACCCTACTGAGAGCAGAGGGGAGCAGGCGGAGCGCACGGTGAGCAGGCACCCTACCTGGAGCTGCCTCATTGCCAGGAGGGCACAGAGAAAAGAGGAGAGAGAACAGGTCAGTGAGCAGTGAGCACACAATCTCCCACACGGGGATCACTTCTCCAGGGACCCCGCCCTGAGGATGGGGTTCTAATCCTTAGCCTCTCCTGCCTTCTGCACTGCCTCCCATGACTCAGAGGCCCCAAGTCTAGCCTAAGCCCCCTTGCCAGGCTCACAGTGTTTATCGATGCGGTCCTAGGGAGGGTGGCGGGTTAGGTCACAGTCCTTGATAAAGGACATCTGGGTTTGTTGCAGAGTGGGGCGCTGCAGGGGCAGGTGAGCAGCCCCCAGGCTGGGTATTTTCAGTGACAGTTAGGGACCTCTCTTTTCTGACTCATCATTGGGGGACATTTCAGCATCCGGAGCCAGGGGTGGTGGACAGAGCCAAATCCTAGAGGTGGGAGTCCCCGGGAGGCTGTGCTTACCTTCCAGATACTCGCTTCCTTGCCGTACACCACGGCCATGTTACTGGCCTTGCTGCCTTTGATGAGCTGCTTCTCCGTCTCGTTGAGCTCCTCGGACACGAAACCCATGAAGGAGTTGTCCGGGGTGTGAGCTACAGCGAGACCACAGGGTCAGGACGGGGGCTGCTACCCAGCCCGCACTGCACCCCGGGTCTACCTGGACTGGCCCCCTCGGAGGGGGCCCCGTTTGACAGGGATGGGGACAGGGGGCTGGTGGAGGACGGGGAAGAGAACCCATCAGTGTCCCAGCCCCAGGCGTCTCCTTCTCCCAAAGACTGTCACAAAGCCTGGAGCAGAGGGAAGGCCTGGTCCCCTTGCTTGTTTGCAAACAGGCACAGTCAGGACCCTGCTCCGGTCAGAGTCCTCCCTCCCTGGTCAGAGTTCTCCCTCCCCAGTTGGCTCTGGCCCAAGGCTTTGGCTCCTCCCCTTTCTCTCACCGCCAACACCCATCAGCAGAGCCTGTTACCCCGGTGGGATTTCCTCCATCACGGCGGCCCCAGCCCGGGGACCACCCTCTCTGTCCTGGGCCCCTGTGACTTGCTGCCTGCCCCCATTTCTGCCATTCTCTTGGCCTTGCCTTTTCTCCTGAGCAATCCTTTAAAATTAGGTCAGACCAGATTCCTCTGCACAAAAGCCTGCAGTGGCCCCAAAAACCAAGGTCCCTACAACAGTCTACAGGATCTGCCCCCACTGCCCCCTTGACAGCTTCTCTTACTCCCTCCTGAGACCCTGCTGGGTACACTCCCTCTGCGGATACGCTTTGCTTCCAGGGTCCTGCCAAGAGGTCCTCCCTGGCCCTGGTCACTCTCTGCCCCTTACCTGCACTCACTGACCAGACATGATATTACATATCTAATTGATCGTTTATTGGTGTCAGAATATAAGCCCCATGAGGGCAGGGCCTCTGATTCGCTCACTTCTGTGTCCCCAGCACCTGGGAGAGCCTGGCGCACCGGCTCATGAATGCGTGGACACATCCTTCCTTTCCTGCCTCCAGGTTTTTGCCCCTGCTGTTCCCTCTGCCTGGAGTGCTCTCCTCCCTTTCCTTGGATGAGAAAATTCTCTGCATGGGGTCCGGTGCCCTCCCTCTGTGGCTCCACCCCTGTGGTTCTGTCTCTGCTACAGTACAGCTCACACTGGCTAGATGGGGAAGCAGGTCTGCTCATGAATTCCTTCCTGGACTTGGCCTATTGTTAAAACTGGCAAGACCTACTCAATTGTCCCCAGAACCCAGCGCACAGGGAGCAGGGAATGTGTCTTAGCTCGTCCTCCTATTCCTCAGCCATGCTAATTAGCTCTGTCTGCCACCATACACCTGCTGTAGGTTTGCAAGGCACAGGGTCCCTCCCATCTGTGTACAGGACCTTGAAGAGAGTGTTTGTTGAACCCAGTGAAATCTACTCTGCCCTCCTGGGTCGGGGAGGCTGTGCTGAGTAGGCTGGCAGAGGCCACATGTCCTTGATTTCCCAGAACAGCCCCGATGCCAAATACCCAATCCCTTATTTCAGATGCATGTTTTCACATTTTAGCATTTCTGAACTCAATCAAATGCATAGATTTAACATAGTATTTCCACCCACAAAAAGTCATCATCAATATCTGGAACATCGTAGGAGAAATGAAGGTTTCCTGCCTAAGTGCCCCAGGAAGCTCACGGATTCTTGGGTCTGAAAGACCAACTGTAAGGATGGGCCTCTGCTGACCGCAAAACAAAATGATCATTCTTCTAGAGCTTCAGGAGCATAAGAAGGGCCTGGAGACCTGGAGTTACTTCTGATTGTCAGGGTGTGGGCAGCTCTCCTGTTTCAGGAGGCTCTGCCCAGGCTGGGGAGTGGCCCCAGGAGGGCAGACCCGACCCTCCCTCACCTGTTTGCCTGCCCAGCCCCCTTCTCTCCCTCCCTGCTGGCTCCCGCTTGGGGCTGCCACCCAGGCTTCTCTCCTGCTTGCCAAGGCCTCCCTATTCACCGAGGTGAAGAATCCCTCATTCTACCAACTCTGTCCAGTTAACTAAACTAGTGGGTGTGGGACAGGGAAATATCCAATCAATTAAAATAACAGGGACCATCAAGGAAAGAGCTCCCAGCTCTCTGGGCAAAAGTGAGGCTGGAAGAGGCAGCCACCCTCCCACTTAGCTCACTGGGGAAACCACCTGGCTAGATGGGGAAATAGGTCTGCTCATGAATTCCTTCCTGGACTTGATATATCATTAAAACTGGCAAGCCTCTCTCTTCCTTTTTTGTTCTCAGTTTCTTTAATTTATTCAATCAATTAACACTTTCTGAGGACCTTGATAGGCTCCAGGGAGATAAGGATAAATCAATCAGCGGCCCCCTTTTGAGTGGTTCATAATCTATCAGGGAGGAATAAATGTATAAGCAAATAACTCTAATATACTTCAACATACACTTTTATAGAATTGGATTTAAAAGGTATAAAAATAGGGACGAAGGAGCAACAGCAGATGAGGGAATCGGTGAAAGTGGCAGTAAATAAAGGAGATATTTGGGTTGGGGTTTTAGAGGATGAGTAGGAGTTTGCCAGGTTTGAAACTCCACATCCAGTGGGCCCTACCCCATGTAAGGCTCATTTTCTCCGTGTAGATTATTGCAGAAGCCTCTTAGCCCCTCTCCTGCTTCTCCCTCCTCTACCACTGCCCCTTTGGCCATCTGCAATCTCCCAGAATAATGTGCCTCAAAAACCTTTCTCTTGGGGTGCCTGCGTGGCTCAGTCGGTTGGGCATCCAACTCTTGATTTCAGCTCAGGTTGTGATCTCGGGGTCATGAGATCGAGTCCCACGTCAGGTTCCACGCTCAGCATGGAGTCTCTTTGTCCCTCTCTCTCTGCTCCTCCCCCCGCCTCTCAAATAGATAAATAAAATCTTAAAAAACAAACAAACAAAAAAACCACCTTTTTCTCCATGACATTCCCAGGCTCAGGAATCTACAGTGATTCTTGAATTACGGTATTTGGCATAAATTCAGCAACAGGTGCCCCCCCCCGCCCCCAGATCCTCCATGTCCCTCCTGCCAGCCTCAGATCTTGATGCTTCCCTTGCAAGTGAGCTAACTGCCCAAGCTCTGTGCCCACCTCTGCTCTCTGTTACCATGGATGCTGCTTCCACAGCCTGGGGCATCCCCACCACGACCCCCACCTCCTTCCCTCCACAGTCCGGTCCCAGAGAGCCATGTGACCTCAGTCCTCTGGGCCTCAGTTCCCTCCTCTGGGCTCCGAAGAACCTGCCTACCTCCCCAACCTTCTGGAATCCAATCAAGCCATTACTTATGTGTCTAGAAATTGCATCTGCCTCTAATACTTCCTAGAACCTGGAGAGTAAGACAAAAAAGGACCAAAGAGGTGCACTAATTTGACAGGCTAAATAAAGACCAGATACTTTACTTCTGAGCAAGTTCCTCGGGACCCTGCTCAGTTGGCTCTTAGTTTAGATACATCCTAACAAAAGGTGCTTATCTGGCTTTCTGACCCAGAGCCTTCAAAGAGCCACAAATCAGATGTGCAAGACGCTGCTGGAGGCAGATACACTGACGACAATTAGATGTGACAGCTGATAGCCTCCCAAAGAGGAGAAAAAGCACCACATCAAACAGTGACAGGCGAAGGGGCAAGGAGCGCAAGGGCACCTGGCTCCGCACACCTCTGCCGTCCCCAAAGGGCAGGCTCTTGCTCCACAGAGAGAGCGAGAATTGACCCTTAGTTGTCAAGAAAGGATCAAATTATTTTCAGCGCACTGCACGTAAGGGGGCAAGTCAGTGAATATATATATTTTAGAGTCTCATTAAAAATAGCTAAAGCTCAGCTCTAAATGGCATTCCTTGCCTGACGCCCATCGTCAGAAGGTTTCCACAGGGGCTCCAGCCCCCAGCCTCACTTCCCATTATCCCCAGTGTTGGAGCCTACTGGAGCTCGTGCATATCCACAACCTTCCAGTTCTTTCCACATCTGTCTTCACTTCATCTGTTCCCTCCACTGAGAAGAGCCTGCCCGTCCTGCCCCTTTGTCACCCCCTAAAGTTCTCCAGTGTACTTCTGGCCTCTCTTTCTACAAGATCACTGAATCCTCTTTGTTCTGGAATGTGCGCTCAGCAGCTCTCTGAGAGCGGCGTGTGATGCTGGAGGCAAAGGCCACGTCCTCCATGTTGGAAAGGTCGCCACATTTCTCCTAAGCCAGGCTGGAAGCCCCACCCAGTCTGCTCCCCAGACACCACAAGAGACTTCCTCTCTGGCTCATACATTCTCGAAGGGCAAACCAGGTTTTCCTGGAGCGGGCAGGTGCATGGGCCTGCCCCACTCCCACACCAGTCCGGAAAGGAAAGCCAGGGAGGGATGAGACCCTGCCTCCTTGCATGCACCCCTGTGAACCATGAGGAGGCCCCATCTGCCCCTGACCCCACCCATGTCCTGCGGCTGGGACACTCACGGAACATGGTCATGAACTGCTTGGGGTTGAGGTTCCAGTAGCCCCAGTTGGTCCGGTAGCCGTGCAGAGTGGCGTACTCCTCATGGTTGTATGCGGGTTCTGTCCCGAAGGTGTCAATGACCCGGATTCGGCACCTGCTCCCCGCCCCGGGGGTGGGTGTACAAGGAACCAGGGTCAGCAACCTCTCATGTCTCTCTGGGCTGGGTTGCCCCAGCTTGGGTGCCGGCACCAGCCACTGGCCGGGCACGGCAATGTGTGGTCAGAGCTGGGGCCCAGACATTACCTAGCTGTGTGACCACAGGCAAGGGCCTTAACCTCTCTGGGTCAGCTTCACCATCTGTCAAGTGAGGATGACAACAGCCCAGCTGTCTCGGGGTTGTGTGGCTATGCCTGAACCATGGGCCACTCGCTCAGAAACTTAGTTATTATGGGGGCCCCAAGGGAGCCTAGGAGGGGGAGCACTGCCTGGAGTGGGGGTCCCTCCCCCCTGTAGGATTTGCACTTTCCTGAGCGGGCAGCAGCAGTAATTTGTGTTCACAGCCCCCCGACACCCCCAAGATGCCACTGGCCTATCTGGGCTGCGATGCAGAAGGGCGGGGCCCTGGGGGACCCACCACTGCCACAGGCCCATCTTTGGGAAGGCAGTGCTTTGAAGTGTCTTCTGCAAAGCAAGCTTGGCCACCTTAGATGCACCTCCCAGCTGGGCAGAGCCTCTGTCGCCGCCTCAAAACCTCCCCTTCCATCCGTCCCACCCCCCGGGGCGTGGGCACCTGAAGGAAACGGCGGAGACTCAGACAGCGCCCCCCAAGGAGCTCCCTCCTCACCCCACAACCTTCCTGGTGACCCAGAATTGTCCACAGACTGCTGAGGTCGGCACTATTCCCCCAGAGAAGGGGCAGGGGGCGGGAGGCGGGAGGCGGGAGGCGGAGGCACCGAGTGCATGAAGAACCCGCATTAATAATAAAAGCAATAACACCGCCTGTCACTTTTTTTTCCTAATAAAATCATGTGGGATAGTCAATGGGACTGGAGCAAATATAATAAATAGCAGGGCTCTCTGTGCTAAATTAAACCCCGTATCCTGCTGGCTGCAGAGACTGGGAGAGATGGCACTGGCCTTCCTCCAGACCCAGGGAGGTGGGGTGGAGGGAGGGAGGAGGAGGGGTGCTGAGCCCCCCCAAGCCGAGGTCACGCCCCAGTTGAGTGTCCCATTCCTTTCCGCCCTGCCATTCCCCTGCACCCCCCGATCCAGATAACCTCTGAGCCCCACCCCAGGCTGCCCTGCAGCAGAGAGGCACTGAAGTGACTCCCACTCTGAGTTAGCCGGGAGGCAGAGCCCAGAGTAATGGGGGAGGGGGAAAGAGAGGAAGAGCGAGCCTTCCCCCCACCACAGGACCCGGGACAAGGCGGTTCCCCCACCCTGGGCACTAGCCGGCAGGGGGCGAGGGGAGGCCTCCTCTGGGGCACGGGGTGGGGCACCACCCGCCTGCACCCTCTTACCGGTACTTCTTGAAGGACAGTCCCATGTGCTGCTTCATCTGCTGCAGGCCGTGGTAGTCAGTGTAGATGAGGTCGAAAGGCAGGGGCATGGTGAGCGGGCAGTTCCCCCGGCCTGGCGGCACCCCTAAGTTACTGAGAGAAGAGTCCTTCAGAGTCTGAGCCCCAAGAGGGACCCACAGGCAGCAGAAACCCACCTTCCCAACCAGCCTTGCATCTGGGGCACCTGGAGCCCCCTCAGTTCTTATAGCCCAGGATAAACATGGGGGAGGGGGCACTGTAAAGGAACTCGAGGTTGGCACATGAGCGCTGGCAGACTTGGAAAGCAAGTGAATGGGGTGGCCATGTCCAGTTGTGTAGGTTTTTCACTGCACAAGAGACTCCAGTGAGAGGAAGTAGGACTGAGATCCAGCCTGGGCTAGCTTGCCAAGCTGTGCCCCTGGCCTGGGCTACCCACCGGGTAGAAAGAGCACCTTTTGTTAATTTGCATAAATGTGTTCCCTGCAGGGCTGTGTCCACCCAGAGGGGGCACCTTTATCTAGCGTTCACAAATTGCCATAAATGCTCGCTATTGTCCTTAGTGCAGCTTCAGTGTTTGGAGCAGAAAGCCCTGCCTCAGGAGACATAATTCTGCTCTGCTGACTGGCTCGTGGCCCACGGAGATGCCCAGCCCTGCCCCACAAGGTCAGCCTACCTGCCAGATCATGTACACAACGGTTTTCCTCTGGTGACCCAGTGCCAGAGCCTTTGGGTCAACTCTCTGGAGCCTAGCAGACCTGGTCACAGCTGCCAGGGTAAATTCCTTTGCCTGGGACCCCCTGCCCACCATCCAGGAGCCCCGGCTTGGCCTGACAACCCACCCCTCTGAGGGGATGAGGAGGCATTTAGCTTGCCCACTCAGTAAGTCTGTCCTGAGCCCCTGAGCCAGGCAGGGAGTAGAAAAGCGCCCCTTTCTTTGGGGACCCCACAGCAGCCACCCACCTCCCCTGAATTCCCGTCTCCCTTGGATTCGTGGTCCAGACGGCTGTGCTGGAGGGGGTCCAGAAGACCTCCCAGTGAGCCCCTTCAGGATCCATGTGAAGAGCAGACTCAGGGCAGGTGAAGAGCTCTGACAAGGTCACTGGCTCATCAACGGCAAAGGGCCATGATGGATGAGCTCCCTGGGTCACAGCTCGGGCTCCTGGAACCCGTTCAAGCAGGTGGAAAAGTACCAGCCTGGACGTCTTTGCGCTCTGTTTGCTCATGTTCTGCACGTCACCATCAGAAGCTGGGGAGGGGGGCACTGCGTGCACTGTCCCCCGAGCACACCGCCCGAAGTTTATGGTAACCAGATGACAAGGCCATGATGGAAAGCTGTCAGGGGAGGCTGCGGGTGACATGTGATGGGGATGGAGGCATCAGGGGTCGGCCGTGCCCTGCAGAGAAGGGCAGCAAGAGGGGAGGGGCTGTCCCTGTGCCTGCTCCCCACCAGCCAAGGCACCCCAGCCTCACCCAGCTCCCCCCGCCAGGTTAGAACATTGGCTGCTCAGTGCCAAGAGCAGAATGCAAAAGCCTAATAACCAGTGTCTCCTATTTCTTATCTACATAGGGAACAGTGGCCAAGGGCTCCCTCCCCCACTCGTCCAGCTCCCATGCATCCCCTCTGTCCAACCAGACCACCACACGGGATGCTCACACACAGGACATCTAAGGCAGGGGAGGCTTCGTGAGCCTTCTTCCATGGAAATACCCAGAAAGCAAACGAGAATGAGCACAGACCGCAGGGGTCTGGAGCCATCATAGGAAACGCCTCCCACAGCCTGGAGACCTCATGAAATATTTGGTGGTATTTTTAAGTGCGGAGCAGATTTTGCCTTCTACTCTGTAGGACATCCCTACATCCCTCTTCAAGCATGGGCTTTCTCTCACCCCCACAAACTCCTCCGATAAGACAGATGCCCCCACAAAGAAGCAACATCTTTGCTCTGGGCCACAGAAGCTCCAGGAATAGACAATCCTCTTCCCCACCTCTCTCCACTCAATGCAGAGCCAGGGGCAGAAGGACAAAATGATGATTCCGCTGTCACTTCTCTGCAGAAACCAGGAAGGCGGTGGCTGCCCCTCCCACAGGGACCTGGGGCCTGGGAAAATTGACTAACACTCCTGAAAGTATCAGCTGTGGGTGGGTCCGCTTGCGACCACTTGTACAGCAACAGGACTGCTGTCCCACGTTACATTCCTGGTTGGTTTCCAGGCCACGTGCCCCTCTGTGGCCAGGTGTGGTGCCAACAAAGTCATGCAGGCTTCCTCCCGTTGCCCCATTACTGCCCACAGCCCTGGCCTCTGCCCCAAACCCAGGACCACTAAGAGGCCAGATGAGCTGCTCTCCCCTGGGGGGAAGACTCCGCCCTGACGTTCTAAGGCACCTGCCATCATCTTCGTCATCCTGGGGGCTAAAATGTTGAACACAGGAACCATTCTACAGGCTTTCGGTTTATTAATTCATTCAATCCTTTCATCTGGGCAACCACCCTATGAGATCCTACCCATTCTTATCCTGCTCTCCTCTTTAGAGATGAGGAAACAGGGAGGGTTGGCAATTTACCCAGGATTGCACAGCCAGGAAGCCGTGGAGCTGGGACTGGAACCCAGGCAGTTGGGCTCCGGAGCCCACATTGCTGCCCGCTAAGCTCTCCTGCCTCCCCGGGCCGGCCAGGTGGCAGACAGTAGGACGGCGGATGGCGGGACCTCAGTGCCATCCCCGAAATCCGAGCCCCGGCTGCCAGCAGAGACTGGGCTCCAGTCCCAGTTCCCCGGGGTTAGGAGGACTCATAAACCTCCTGGAGTTTCATCTTTCTTCTCAGCAACAAATAAAAATGGCTCCGTCACAGGGTTCCTGGTAGGCTCGACTGAGGTGAGGCGAGTGAAAGTCCCACTAATTATCATTTCCTCTCATCATACGTTCTGCCTTCTGAACTTCTGGGCCCGGCCACTCCTTCCTGACCCCCAGACACCACCTGCGCACCCCCCCCACACTTAAGGCCCTGTCATTTCTCACCTTGAATCTTGAGATAATATCCTCTCTGCTCTGTGCCCCTCCAGTCTTGTCTCTTTTCTAGAGAGATTTTCCACAATGTAAACCTGGTTCTAATCCCTCCCAGAAGACTTCTCACCTCCTGGTCCTTGCCTCCTCCTCCTCCAGGAAGCCCTCCTCAGACCCCTGGGCAGAGAGATGCACAGCCCCTGTGCTCCCCCACCGCTTGCTACAACCCCTCCCCTGCACCGTCCAGAGTCACCTCCTCACCACCGGGGCCCATGAGGACAGGGGCCAGGGCATCTTTGAAAGCCCAGAGCCAGGACAGGACCTGGACCAACACGCACCTGCTGTGTTCAGGAATGAATGAGCAAACCAGTGAATCAGGTGAACCCCCTTAGGAAGAACTGGTTTAAAGGCTGAAGATGTGGCCAAGGAAAGCATATCCAGAGAGAGACAGCGGGTGGGGGATGCTCAAGGCTGATGGGTGTCTCGGCTCTTGGCTCTTCGCAGGGGTGGAGGGGGCTCTCCTAGAAACCTCGGGACAGGGACACCAGTGGCCCTGCATGCCCTACAAAGCCATCCCACAGGAAGGAGAGGAGGAGACAGAAACTGGCCCAAAGACTGCGGGTACCCCTCCCAGGGGGAGTTAATGAGGGGCCGCCCGGGGTTCCCAGCCCTAGAAAACAAGGGTTTTCCATTTAAAGCGACTTCAGTGGAGAGAAGTGTCTGCAGCTGCCTCATCCCTCTGGTCACAGGGCCTCGGAGCCCGCCCGGAGGACAGCGGAGAGGGGCGGCCACGGGGAAGGGGCTGTGCTTCCATCGCTTGTAATTTCAGGTCGCTTTTACAGGCAATTTTACGCTAAGTGGTTGGTCAGAGCAGTGACATGAGCTGAAAAACGCCGTCTCCAGACAACCTTCAGCCAAAGGTGCCCACGGAGCCGCCGCTGTACACATCTACCTTCCATGCTGACGCCTCGAAAGGCCCCTGTCTAGACGGTTTCTTCTTTCCACTGCCAAGTTCCTCATTCCCCTTCGGACTCTTCGCCCAGGGCTGTGTCTCCCCAGCCCCAGCGCACCGTGGGGCCACAGGGTGGGTGAGTGTGGTAGGGAGAGACAGCAGCTCCCAGGGCAGGGGCCTCCCACGCATCCACCCAGCGCCACCCGTTACCCTACACCACGCTTGGGAAGGACGAGGGAGTCTACATGGAATTGCCAAGCTGGGTGGCCGGAATGTATCTCTAAATGCCCCCAGGGCCCCTGCATGGGAGCCTGAATTCAGGACGAAAGGGGTGGGGGAAGGGGTGACCTCCGGAAACCGTGCTTTTCTACAGCTCGCCTGGCTATCATGGGGCCCCCACACTCAACCCAAATTAATCCACCTGTAAGAGCCACCCTGTGGCGGGGAGCAATGGGGAGTTAGTGTTTAATGGGGACGGAGTTCTAGTCTGGGAGGATGAGAACGTCCTGGAGAGGGATGGCAGAGTGATGGTTGTATAAACTCGTGAATGTACTTAATACCACTGAACCGTACACTTAAAAATGGTCAGGAGAGTAAATCTGGTTATGTGTATTTGACTATAAATGTTTTAAAAAGCCAAACTGTTCACACGCAGGGGCCTGTGCCCAGCCCCACAAGGATATGCCGTGTCCCCATCTTCCCTAGCACCCCTGGACTCCCAGCAGGCCATAATGTAGGGGGCACAGCACATATCCAGAGAAGGGGAGACTCAGTTACTCTTTGCTAAAAGATCAAAAGGTAGGATGGGTAGATGGAACAAGGAGGCAGGGAAAACAACAGTCTATGATCAATTAAAAAAAAAAAATCCTCAGGGCGCCTGGGTGGCTCAGTGGGTTGAATGTCCGACTCTTGATTTCGGCTCAGGTCATGATCTCAAGGTCATGGGATGGAGCCCTGCAATGGGCTCTGCACTCAGTGGGGAGTCTGCTGGAGATTCTCTCTCCCTCTGCCCCTCCCCCTGCTCTCTCTCTCTAAGATAAATAAATCAATCTTGAAAAAAAAAAAAATCCTCAGCTGGGAATCGAAATGCTGAGTTCTGGCACAATGAAAATCACTCCTGGGCTCCAGCACAAACTTGCTGGGTGGCCTTGCCCAGACATT